TTGGCCTCTCCAGAGTAAGAGAGACATTGACGGTTTGACTTCCCTGACCACATCCTTATTGGCGAAGGCGAGGCTACTTCTACAGTGTTAGGCCATGGCACACATGTCCCATCACCATGACCCCAATTTCTACAACCTGGAAGAATATGAAATCGAGGTGGAAATTGAGAATGACCGCGTGGAAATTGAGAATGACCAAGCGGAAATCGAGGATGAGCAAGAGATGGCAGCGGCAGGAGGGAGCTGCCCTGTTAATGAATGTGCTCGAGGCTTCATGGACAAACCCGAGTACCAGGGTACCCCAAAACACCAGGGTGATATGAATCACGTGGTCAACTTGAGCTACATTGGTTCTGACGTCGCCGTCGCGAGCCCAGGTTACTACCAAAACATAGGACAGCTACAGTTGGAGGAGAAGGAGACCTTAGTTGCTAGGGTCCCACAGCAGTGGAGGGGCACTCGACCACGGATCCGCAGGGGTCTCACATCCTGGCAATTGGGAGAACTGGAGAGCATTTTCGAAGAAACTCAGTACCCTGATGTGATCACGAAGAAAGATCTTGCGAAGAGCCTCTTTCTTAAGGAATCAGAGGTTCAGTCTTGGTTTAAGGAGCGAAGAGCCAAGGAAAGGAAAATACAGAGATTACAAGGTGCCCCTGATAGTACCCAAGAGATCTTTCACTAAAAGTTTTTAGAGGAGCCCTGGAGTACCATCCTTCTCCAGGAACAAACATCCCTTCAGCAGTAAAGAAAGTTAGTACAAAGCCAGCCATAGCTAAGGGAGACCCTGATTTAGAATAAACAAAAACAAAACAAAAAAAAAGGAACAAAAACACAAGAAAAAAACTCACTGAAGTAAATACAAGAGCCACATAATCTGTGAAAAAAAACAATGATAGAGAAAGCCAGGGATGAAAACAAGGAGAAACTAGAAGATTCAGTAGAGACCTGACCAGTCTTGGCAACCAGGCAAGTTTCAAATTGGGCCCTTTCTTGAGTGAGAGCAGGGCAGGTTCTTTGCTGAAAATGAGCCAAAGCTACGTGGCATTCTCTATCCTAAGGTAGCGTTTCTCTGAAGCCAGAAATCTGATCCAGGACTGCAGAACTCACAACCTTAGATAATAACAAGTTTGGGTCTTATGGGGATCCGTAGTCCACTGGCTTCCTAGAAATCATATTGAGTAACTTGATGAAAGAATGATGAAAGCAAGCACCCAGAGCCCCAAACTGATCATTTGTAGGAAGCTGAGCAATTTCCCATCCATCTCCTGGGATGCTTAATGGAATAAATGCACAGATGTGTCTTCCTCGGGGATATTTACTCAGCACTGGCCTCTGCCAGGAGGAGCCAGCAAGAAAGCAGAGGGTGACCTCTGTCCATGTGATGATGTGAACAGCAAGAAGCACAGTTCCTTCACACAGAGCCATGAATAACTGGTAGAACTAGACGTTAGCTCTAAAATTGATATGCCCCCATAGGCATCTTTACTCAGAGATCCTGTGTCTGGGGGTTCCTTGCTCTTCATATCCCATACATAATACAGGGCTCTAGCTGTTGTGATTTCAGAGTCTCAGCAATCCCTGGGTCCTCTTCATCCCACCCTTTCCCGACCTCAGGAAGATCTGTTCTCCATCAGGAAAAAGAATCGGGGCATTTTTCCATTTGGATGAGTTTCTGGTGTGTATTTATTAGATTCAGCTTTAGTTGAAGATTGAATCATGTCATCTAAATGAAGGCAGCTGCTCCCCTCAGAGTTTCGTGCTATACTTTTGCAAAACCAAGAGCAAAACAAAATCTTTGCATACAAGGACAACTTTCAGATCTTTCCAATTCTAAGCTGGGCTGAGCTTTCTTTTTTTATGCATTTGAGAAATGTCCTTATGCCCACAGAGAACTGTAGCTTCCACTCCTCGTTAAAGAAGATCTCCTTTGCAAAGCAGTTAGCCCTGAAATTATGTACCTACAAACACCTCTAAAAACACTGAAGAGGGTGGTTATATATTTTTGCACTTATGTATGTGTAACAATTATAATTACAGAAAAAGAGACCAAGGGGCCATGGATTTGGAAGGAAGTAAAGGGTGGGAGAGGTGGAGAGGAAGAAAGGAAAGGGAAGAAATGATGTAATGGTATTCTAATTAAAATAAACAAACAAAAAAATTAAAAAGAAAATTGAAATTTTACTATGTTCCAAGCCAAAACAAAGCAAGGCCATTGGAGAAAGCCACAGCTGTTCTGTGACCAGAATAGTGAGGTTAATGTCGGGTGGTGGTGGCACACGCCTTTAATCCCAGCACTCGGGAGGCAGAGCCAGGCAAAATTCTGTGAGTTTGAGACCAGCCTGGGCTACATAGCAGGATCCAGGACAGGTATCAAAACTCTTGGGGGGGCGGGGGGAAGAATAAGGAGTTCATTGTTGTGATGTCCAGTAGGAAGCAGTGTGTTTCCAGAGTGTGACGAATGAGCTGGCTGCATCCCATGTTAACACATGTGACTAGGATAGAGGTCATATAAGGCAGAAGATATCTAGTTGTAAGCCTTAGCATCCCTTATGTGCTTCCTTAAGGAGGACTCTTACTGGAGTTTGAAAGAAAGTATGTCTAGAATTCAATCAATGAGAATGGCCGGAAGACAAAATAGATGTGGTTCAATAGAAAAATCAGCCTAGGAGGGTTTAAGAGAATTTTCTATGTGTGTGATACAGTGCTGGCTTTCTCCTGCCACTCCCCCTTTATTTATTTATTTGTTTATTTATTTATTTATTTATTTATTTATTCATTTATTTATTTGAGACAGGGTTTCTCTGTGTAGCCTTGGCTGTCCTGGAACTCACTGTGCACACCAGGCTAGCCTCCAACTCAGAGATCCCCCTGCCTCTGTCTCCCACGTGCTGGGATCAAAGTCATGTGCTCACCAAGCTCAGCTTCCTGTTCCCCTTTTAATTTGTCTGGGTTCCAAGCCCACCCATGGAATAATTCCGCCCACCTTCAGTTAATCCTGAGGCACACACAGAGGTGTACCTCACTAATCTAGTTTCCTAGGTGATCACAGATTCAATCAAGTTGACCTGGGATGACAGACCATGAAGCTCATAACCTCCAGATATAAGCATTTTCCTTATCACTCCTGTTAATCTGAATTACTAACAACAAAACAGAGGTTCTTTCCAGCTTCTAGGAATCCTTTTGTGCCAACTTTGCCTCATCGTTTCCAGGTGATACAGGCTTGTCCCCGCTGACCTCTCTCCTGAATTACTAGCATCTCTCAAGCCATTAGACTGGGGTCACTGAAGCAGAGGTTCTTGGGAACTAGCCTTAACAATTTCAGGGTGCAACTGCAGATAATGGTAGCCTAGGGTCTCTGCTACCCCTAATTGTATTTACCAACCACCTGCTTCTCCATAAATGTTGTTCATAGGTGTGAGGATAATTAGAGTCTGCCACAAGAAGCACACCTGTCTGTCATATTATAATGCACATAGCATTTACCAAACAGTAACTCAAGTAATGCTGTCAAGAGGCATGATTCTGTCTGGTTGAATTCTGCATCTACTCATCTAATCCATGGGTTTGAAATAACAAACCCAGAGACAGTTATTAAAACACGAATTGTTGGAATTTGATGCCGTAGCTTCTCATCAGGCCAGAATAGGGTTGGAAATTCGCACCTGGACTAAAGCAGCCCAGATGAACCTGAAAGAGAAGGCAGGTACTGTGGGATCTGGTCCTAAACTGTGAGCTACATGGCCTTAATCCAGGTACTTAACCCGGAGCATAGCATGGAACAGATGTCAACGCCTTTTATTGAATATAAACAGCTAAATTCAAGATTGAATCAGCTAACAGTTCAGGCAAGGGTTTGTTCACAGGGAGCTGTGTCTGAAAGAGATGAAGAGTAAGTGACATTTTATTGGTAGTGTAGACAAAACAGGAACACTCTTAACTATATTCCTTTTAATAAAAACAAGAAGCCAGTTAACTTTTTAAGGATTCGACTTTACAACTCCAAATGTGGAATTACGTATTTGTCCAACGTATAAATTTTATTCTTTCCCCCTTGAGAGCATCTTAGCCCAGAGCATACAGATGTCATTTTCCCAAATCTTGGCTGCAACCATCTAAGAACTTTCTCCATTCTGTTTTTATTTTAGGAGCAGGCCCGGATGTTGGAAATGGGGATAACTGGCCCAGAAGGCCACGTTCTGAGCAGACCAGAAGAGGTGGGTTGCATGGAGTAGAGCAGAAGGGCCACACAGGGAAAAACCAAGACGGCAGTAAGAGTTGAAACTGATGGTCACAGTCTTAGCCTGCCACTCACTTTACATTTGGAGTGTTTCTGTTTGCCCCCAATTTCCTGAGCCACACCCACACACAACGTAGGCATGAGCATGGCTGAAAGGTGATAGGATCTATGAACACCACCTAGCATGACTTCTCTCAAAGACCTCTTCTAGAAAGGAATGTAAAGGAGATGCTCACCTCTGACCTTCAGTTGCAGGACCTCCCTGGGCCTTCAGTAGGAGTGCTGAATGTCTAAGTCTTTGTTAATCATCATGAGTACTGGAGACATTCTTATGTACTCTCATATTACTTTGAGTCTAGCAAAACACAGACAATGTGGGGGGGGGCGTTGAATAGACTTTTCATAGGCGTTATGTCTATTCATTTTAATAAAGTGATGATTGTGGTCAGAAATGGAAGTTTTTCACTCACGATATGAATCAGGGTGTGCATCTGCAGAGCCAGCCAAAGGTGAATAGAGACTAATTCCTATCTCTTATGCCAGCAATTTCTCTTGTTGGCACAGGGCTCAGAGCTTGGAATTAATCACCCACCAGTCTGAAAGCTAGGTGGTTCTGACCTGTCAGCCTTGGGTGATAGCAATGGTCCTCATGTCAGGGGAGCTAACTCTGTTATGCCAAACCCCACAGAAGAACCGGAACCTAAAGATTTTGTTCTTTCCTCATTTCTTCTAGAGCCCGGAAAAAGTTTAAATGTAACACAAATATAGAGAAAATTTCCTATTACAAGGAGGTATCCATTTTCACAAGCTGAAGACACTTGTATCAGGGCATCCAGATGGAGATAGAACACGGTCAGCTTTTTAGAGGTTGCCAGTTGTTACAGCTGTTATGATTAATGATGAATTAAATTATAATTAAAATTAATGATTGACATCCCAGTCACACACAACATTCCTGAAAAAAAAAATCTGTGCCCTAATAATTCTAGGCACCTTCTCAGGGACACTTATTTCTGGCAGTGCTAACTGCTTGCCTTGTCTTAGCTATTCTTGCTGCCACTCAAGGTAGTGGCATTGTGTGGGTAAAGAACCTGAAGCTTAGAGAAAGTCACCCAGGGGGCTGACCATGTTTAAAGAACTGGAAAATCACTTATATGGTGTTACCTGGCCATAGTTGCCAACACTGTTTGTGAAGCGATAAATACTGGTCACTGGAGGGATATGCTGGCAAGACAGAGTTCTTTAGACGCCGCCAGGGGATTTCACAGCAAAGTCTATTTTTGTTCCTTGGTTTGTTTTTTCAACCTCACTCCACCCCCACCACCTCAACCTTTCCCAGTCCCATCTCCTTTTTAGTAAGAAGGCCACTTAGCTGTAAATCTCAACAACTCCAGAAGCTCTTCTGAGTAAAGCAGAAACGTGATGTAACCTTCTAAAGATAGTCACGTCGTCAAAGTGCAGAAAAGCCTGCCCCGCTGGAAGGGAATAGAATCAAAGAAGCCAGGACTGAGGTCATGGGGCTGCTGAAGTGGTCAGCAAAGGTAGGAAGTGAGAGTGAGTGCAGGAAAAGCCAGCTGCTCTTCAGTTCAAAGCTCAGCCAGATGTAGTCTCCA